GAAGATATGAAATGTATTCCGTATGCTAGGGATTTGTGTTTGCCATGTCCAGCAGCTTGCGTTGTTTTGAGGAAAGCCTGTGTTTGGAGCGTGCCTGTTCCTTAGTACAATGGGACTGCTGCATTGGGGGGTTGCCCTGAGATGAACAGACAGTCAGCTGGGAAATGTCTGCCTTCTCACATACCCATGAGGGGAAGTAGAGCGACTCCTTTGTTGCCAGCTGATAGTGGAAGCAGCAAAAACTGGACAATCTTATTCCTGACCTCAGGGAGGCCCTGAAGAGGGAGTGTTAAAAATGCAGCGAGCTGAGGCTGAGTGTTCTGGGAAATGCTGATACCAGTGGAGAAGCAGAAGTGGGTTCACAGCAAAGAGCCCTCTGGGCAACTAAGGCAGATCTCAGTTTGCAGAGATGCCAGAGCTTGGCCAAATCTCTTGAGCCAGCTTGCATCACTGGAGAGAGCATGTAATGCAAAGCAGAGGCAGAGAGCATGGGCCAACATTTCTTCTCTGATGCCCTGTCAGATCCAGGGAGAGGCAGAGGTCTCTTCTCCAGCTGGCTGAGCCAAGGAATCCAGGCTGCTGCATGGCAGCGAAGCTGGTTGTGGAAAGAGCACGTGAAAAATGGACTGACTCTTTGTTTTGACTCTCAGATCCACGCCAACTGTCGCATCCGACGAGTGTACTTCTCTGACCGGCTCTACTCAGAGGATGAGCTCCCAGCTGAGTTCAAGCTCTATCTGCCTGTCCAGAACAAAGCCAAGGTGAGCTGGCTGTGGGCAAGGAGGGTGGGAGCAGCAGCTGGGCCAGGCTAGCATTCACAAGCCAGAGTTTCCTCTAGCAGCAGAGCTCTTTCAGCTTTGGCCGTCACCCAGGGAGCACCCTCGCTGTTGCCAGGGTGAGCAGTCTGTCGGGGGTGCCTTGCTGAATGGCTTTCCTGCCAAAACATGTGAAAGTTGTCATTCCCATCTAGGAGCAGGGTGAGCTGTGCAGCTGCTCCCCATGTCCTTCCTGTTCATGTTTAAGGACTCTGGGCAGGGTGGCAGCCTCCCAGCATCTCTCCAGAGCTTTCACCCATGACTCAGCACAGCAGCTTTGCTCTTCAGAGCTAGCTGCCGCTCCACACTTGTGTTCCCAGAGTGATGCTGTTTGTGTCCCTCTAGCCCGAATTTACTCTCCTCTGCTCTCCTCCCTGCCTAGTGCAGATGGTGGTGCTATGAGGTGGGAAGGGGATACACAAGGAGGAGATGCCAACCTCTGCTCTTATGGTGATGGGAGGGTCGTCCCTGGCATATTGGCAGCAATCCTGAGGCTTGGGAGGAAGCACCTTCTTTGCCAGGGCCAGCCTGTCCTAGTGCAGATGCATCTTTTAGCAGAGTAGATTCCTGGGCAAAATTTCAAGGAGCTGAGGGAGGATGTTGGGTGCTGATCTTAGTGGGAGGTAGAAGGCAGTGTTAACAGTAGGTGATGCCTCTGGGGAACTTATCACTGCCTTCTGAGGTGTAGCAGCCTCCCACGGGTGTCTGGGGAAGGCTTCGACCCCTCCCAGTACAGTTGTCTTGGTGCTGCCGAGTCTAATAAATGTCTTCTTTCTTCTCCCTGCTCTGTCCAGCAATAACACCACGTTGGGAAGAGATATGAGAAATGGCGGGGTCAATAGGAAAACAAAAGCAGATGGAAGAGAAGGCCCTGCTGAGACCAAGTTTTAGATCAGTTCACTTTGCCTAGGGTAACTTCGATTCATCTGGTATCCCTCTTCTAGACAGGACACAATTAACCATGTAACAGGTCTGGGACTATGTTGTTGGTGCACAAGTTGTACAGAATCAGAGTTTTCCTAGCTGTTCCTAAAGTGCTGAGCCTGAACACTGCAAGTGGCCGGGTACCTGATCTTGTGTTGCACAGAGGGGTTGCTCAAAGTGGCTGTTGTGCCTCCAAAGAGGGGATTCAGTGGGAATTATAGGGTTAAGTGTGCCCTCTTGAAGATACCGATTTTATTTTTTCTTTCCTGGTTTTCCATCTCTTATTTTGTATATGCTCTAAACACGGATGTAATACTTGCTCTTGGAAAGTTATTAAACATTTGACTCTGTAAGTCTGCTTCTGGCTTCTTCCTCCTCTGATGGATCCTTTAACTTGTGTGTATTAGAGCTTCAGAAAGTGCCAAATAATTTCTTTAGGAACCCAAATGTTAGCCTCTGAGTTTGACTTTGATTGGCAGCCTTGCTGTTTAAGGGATAGCACAGACATGAACAACAGCAATCTGGAGAGAGGAAAAAATAGTAAGGTTTCCACAGAGGAGACGGGATCTGTCTCCAGTCCCTGAGGTTTGTGGTACTCTACCTATGACAAAACCTTACGCTATTCACATTTAGTACATGGAAATGGGTTTTTCATTCCTTTCTTACTTGAAGCCATTTTCCCAGCAGACAAATTGCTCTTACCTGCCTGTTAGGGCAGAGCTCTATTCCCTGTGTAGTTAAACAACTTGCTTCAGCTCTCAACCAAGCCTACTTATAGCAACAGTCGCACAATAGTCTTCCAGCTGCCAGATTGTCCCTTTCCCCAGGGATCAAAGGGGAGGTTTAGCAAAGCAGCATAACAGGAGCGGAAGTCTCTTCCTGTGCTGAAGCTGCCCTTCCCTGCCTCGAACTAGTCTGCCTTTGTTGTGGAAAGGCCTGTGGAGGGGAGGCTGCAGACCTCTGCCCACAACAGAGAGGCTCTGGGAGAAGCCAGTGCCTGTCCTCCCTGGGGCTAAGCCCCCCCCCCAGCTACTCCAGTGAGCAGGTACCTAAGATGGGTACTGATCCTTCCCTGGTGTTGGGCTGTGCAGTGAATTGGGAAGACTTCATTATTGTCCTGTAAAAGGAAGCTGGTCTCTCCCAGGAGGAGGAGAGCCTGTTGGGGGACTTCTGCCCCAGGTTCTGGATTTAATCCTGACCACTGACTCTCCACCTGGTTTAAAGGCTTGGCATGTCTCTGCACCCTCGCTGCTCCATAGAGACCCCACTTTACCACTGTGGCAAGTTCTTGGGACACCTATAATTTGTCATCCACCTTATTTGCACCTTTAAATCTGGTGGGCTTTGAACTGAAGGTGCTGACCCCATGCTGCCACGTGATGTTGGATTGTGCTTGCAGACAGCTTTCTGGAGAAGACTTTTCCAATTTTGATAGCAGCTGAATAGCTTGGTAGCTCTAAGGAGCCAAGACAAGGAAGCCCACGTGGAGAGGCACCATCCATTTTGCTGTGACATCTGTCAAGGCTTGGCTGGACTTGAGATTTGTTAAGTAGAATCGTACTGTACTGTGTGCCAAGGATCAGCCTTAATGAAGTCCATGGCAAGGCTTTCCTGCCACGTTTGCAAAGCTTGCCAGGGCTGGGGGAGCTGCTGCGGGAATCCATCAGACCCCAGCAGGGTAAAGCATGCATCTTTTGCCACAAGCCCTTGCTCCTGAGTGCCTGGTTTTGGCCATCGTTGACAGCTGAGCACTCACTGGGAGCTGCTCCTCCTGCCTTTCCCTGCCCCGCTAGGGCCCATGCTGGAGTTGCCCCTTGTCCTTGAGCAGCCAGGCTTGCTCTGAGTGAGTGACCTTAATGCATGGAGAGGGGCTGGGGGCTGGGCTTGGCTCCCCAGGGCTCCGAGCTGGCTGCCTCTGTGGAGAGATGTGATGGGCCCCGCTGCCAATTCCTGCCTGACCTCTAGAAGCTGTGCTAGCAGATTTGCTGGAAAGCTCCCAGCCACAAACCCTTACATCCATGTGGACACTCTGTGTATTTTTTAATATGAAACAAAATACTGAATCTTCCTGTTTACATGTTGCGCAAAGTGGAGCATCATCAGATACGGGCTCTTTCCTTTAGGGCCAGACGGTGGTGGATTTACACGGTGTTCTTCAAAAATCTTCCTCTTCTAATCCTCCTCTCCCATCAGAACTTTAACCATCTCACTGGAGGTGAGTGAAGAGTGGCTGCTCTCCCTGCAGGAGAAGAGGGCGCTGCTGGCACATACACCAAAAGGTCACAGGCATCCTGTCAGCAGCCGTTTCCTAGAGCAAACATGCACCAGTGACACTGCTGTGATGAAGCACCCAGCTTCTTACTGCTTTGGTTATGGCTTTTGACCCAGCTGGGATGCAACACCCTCTGGCATGGAAAGTGTGGAGGAAGGCAGGAAGGCTGTGGGTGCAGAGATGGGAGCCTGCCCCGAGGACAGCTGTTGCCCGTATGCTCCCCGGGCAGCCCCAGCAGTGCGAGGGGTGAGCAGAGGGGGAGTCCTGTTCAGTGCAGGCAGCCTGCAGAGAAAAGGTCTTAAATATCTCCTCGTTCACCTTTCTGTGGGTGGCCTGCTCCTTCCTTATTGCAGTTCATATCTAGTGGGAGTGAAAGGAATCTTTCTTCACAGGGAGCCCTGGATTCAACCCTGGGGTGGAGCGAGGCCCGCCCGAAGATGAGTTTTCCTTGCCTCCGCCAGCTTTTCACCGTCCTCTTCCATTGGCTGGGGCAAGGTCCTGCACTTGGGTGCTTTGATCGGGACCTAAGTGCTGGGAGCCTGCTTTCTACATCAAAGGCAAAGCTTCTGTTTGAAATCTTGGCCGCTGAAGGATGGCGAGTGCAGGGGCTGCAGCACCTCAGAGCAAGGGATGGGTGAGCGACCTTCCCCGGGTCCTCTCAGACAGAGCTGGAGCAGCAGGCAGTCACTGTGTGGTGCGAGCCAAGGCTGGGACATCCCTCATCTCAGTGGCTTTGCCTGGGCAGGTGGCAGCAGCTGGCAGGGGAAGCGGATGACGGGGTTTTCCTGGAAAGCCTGTCCGCTGGGGCAGAAGCAGTCTGGGTGGGAGTCGGGACCAGCAGAGTGGCAGGACACTGATAAGAGCTTCTGTCCCTGCCTGTGGCCTTCCTCTTGCTCTTTGTCTCCTTCCTATTAAGTGGATCCTGACACAAAGCACAGAGCTCTGATCCTGGAGGTGATATGCCAGAATTAAAAATAAATCTGGGCCAAGCTCTTTGCTCCTTGCCCTCTCTGCCTCCCCTTTTGCATCTCCCTGGATGTCTTGGGCCAAATGTTGTCATCTTTGTAGAGGGATTGCACCTCCAGGACGACGCTAATCCCCTGCAGCTGCTGTCTAGCATGTGGTGGGTGGTGCTGGAGGCAAGGGAAATATTTATTTTGAGTTTTGCCATTGGCCACCACTGAGGAAAAATGAGTGACCGTATCAGGGACTTTGGCTACTTCTGCACACGGGGAGAGCTGATCTTCCTGCCCCGCTGGTGCCTGCAGGAGAGGGGTGAGAGTTTCCCCCAGCAGGCTGCAAAATGGGACCACCCAAGCCTGATATTATTTGGATGAGGGAGCAGCTGTGCACCATGAGAGCTACCTTGGGATGTGATGGGGAAAGCCTCAGCGCCGCTAGAGGTGAGAAGATGATGGATGCTAAGCTGCGCTGAAGCAGACCTGCAGACCATCTGCTCCACTGTCACCTTGTGCGTTGCCCCTGCAGCCCCAGAAATCACTTTCCTCCCTGGGAGATGAAGAGTCCAGCACCACAGCCTGCAGGGTGGCTGCAAGGGGAGGCGATGGCCATGAGTAACGCACACGTGTGCCAAGCTCAATGTAGCTGGAGGGTGCATCCCACACACAGCAGGGTTGTGCTGGCACCAACCCCTGCCCAGGCAGCCCCTGGAGCCTCAGTGCCAACTGCAGCGTGCACAGGCAGCAGGCTCAACCCCTCCCAGGGCCCCGTGGCTCTTCCCTCTGTCCCCAGTGTCATTTCCTCTAGCCTTGAGGCCGGCTGGTTGCTGCTTGGCGTATCCCAGCCCCAGTTCTTCCTCTGCACCAAGCCAAGCTTCCTTTCTGCTTTCCAGGTCCTTTCCCCAGTGGTGCACAAGGGATCATGCCTTGACTTGCAGAGGAAGAGGAGGAGGCAGGAGGAAGCGTGGTTTCTCCTGTGATGGTGCCAAGCAGGCAGATAAAGCCCTTGCCAGCCCTGGTCACCCCCATCACCCACACTCCAGCGGTGCATGAAGCCCCATCTTGCAGCCACCAGCACCGCCTGGCACGGCAGGGCCTGGAGGATGCTGCGCTCCTAGGGTCTTTTCCAGGTCGGGCTTCTCCAGCCTATTTTTGGGAAGCTGGGAGGTGCCTGGTGGGGGTGGATCCTGGCAGGGCTGCCTGGTGCCTGCCAGGGCTAGGCTGAGCGGGAGTCCCACTCCCTCAAGCCACCAAAGGCCCTGGCCCTTGCAGCAAGTTCATCCCTGCCCTCCCTGGGGTCTTGCATGCGTGGGTGGCTGGAGGCGAACTGACCCCGCTGTGGACATGCAAGGCAGGGCGGGAGCCTCCGGCAAAGAGCCTGAGCCCTGCTGAAATGCTGGGCTTTGTCTCCAGTGGGGTCCCTCGCTGCTGTCCATGAGTGTTTCCAGATGGCCCCAGGCTTCTGGCACCAGCTCCGCTGCAGCACCCGGGGAAAAGCTGGAGCGGGGCGTGGGGTGGGAAGTGATGTCCCAGCTCACTGAACTCGGGCAGCCTGGGCCTCCGCTCCCAGTGCAGCTAATTCCCCCTGGGGGATTGCTCCCAGCCTCTGTCCCAGCATGGAGCCCCCCCTCCCCTGCTGTGGCAGGGCTGCCTGGGGAAGGGGATGCCGAAAGCAGCTGGCCCTGGGCATACTTGGCTGGCTCAGCTGGCTGGCCTTATGAGCCAGGCGTCTCTCCAGGCACCAGGCTTCTGGGTCCCTACTCCTGCATCTCATCGAGCCCTCAGCAGCCCTGGGAGAGAGGGGAACCACAGCTGCCGTGGGAAATAAAGCTGTTGTCGGAAATGCATCTGCCATGGGAAGTGCAGCTAGTGTGGGAAATGCATCTGCCGTGGGAAATGCATCTGCCGTGGGAAATGCAGCTGTGCCTGCCTCTGGAGCTGCCTTTGCGGGGGCAGGGAGCAACAAATCCCAGCCGCATGTTCCTCTCACCTCGCCTTTTGGCCAGGTTCATGCCTTTTGGTAGCTCCTGGTGCCAGTTTGGGGCGGGCTGGGGTGTCAGGCTGTAGGGCTCCCGTTCCAGCAGAGCTGTGGGTCCTCCCATGGCTCCGGAGATGACCCATGCAAGCACAAATCTGGCCAAAATAATCAAAACCGAATTGAAAGGAGTTAAAAGCTGAGGAATGTGACCCAACACAGCCTGGCTGACGGAATACAACAGCCCAGAGCCTTGGAGACCTCTTTTTTTCTTCCCCCCCCATTCTTCACAGGTTTTTCTGTCCCTAATTTTGGCTTCTTGCTTGGCTGCAGCGATGAGCTGGGTCTGAGCCAAGCGTGGTTCCCAGGGACTCAACAAATGGCTGGGTATCACTGCTGAGCACAGGCAGGGATGAAGGCCAGGGCAGGGGAGAGGAGGAGAGAGGAGGGGACGGGAGGGGATGGCCCAAGGCCATGGGGTTCCCCCCCACCCCCAGCAGCCCTGAGAAAGCAGGGCGAGAGCCAGCATCAGTCCTTCCCTTTTAAAGTAATTAGTGGCTGAAGAGTGGTGTGACAGTAATTTAGTGCCAGGAAGTGGCTGCAGCCGAGTCTTGGGCACTGAGCCAGCAGCTCTGGGTCCTGGGCAGGGGGAAGGACATGGGGGGGACGGGACGCAAAAGCCTCACCCCTACCAGTGAAGGGGGATCTGCTCCTGCCAAGGCTGGGAGGGTGCACCAAGCCATGTCAGAGCCACCAGCCCTATGAGGAAAGAGGCAGGACATGGGTGCTGGCTGGGTGCTGGGCCCAGGGGAGGCTGGAGGAAGTCTAAGGGGTGGGAAGGGGATGCTGGCTGGAATCCGGTCTCATAGGGTCATCCCCACAGGGATGGGTCAGACACAATCCCCCACTGGTGTACTAACCATGCCAGGCCTCTGCCACCCACCCTGAGGCTGCACCCATGGCTCCAGAGCAAACCCAGCCCCGGCTCGCCACCCTGGTGAGCATCACCAGTGAAGGCAGGGCAGCCGCTACCTCCATCACCACCGCATGCCACCCACCATGGTTTGGTTTTCCTTCCCATTAAAGGCTGAGCAACATTTTTCCCTCAATAAAGCAAATTTCCAACCTCCCCTCCCTCCCTGGGTCTAATCTTTCACACTCCCATGAGTATTTCCCCGATTTCTGCAGCAGTTGCAACTCCTCCTGCTTTTCTCCACTGAGACAGCAGCGGTGAGACAGGATATGGCCACCCCCTTCCCCCCCGGAAACACGCCGAGGCCGCATGGGGACAGGGAGCCAAAGCACCCAGTCAACCAGCTCCAGGAGGGACCATGCAGCATCCCCAGCTGCCGCAGCCACTGGCCTCTGCCTGGGGAAGGGAGGTGGCCACCCCGGGGCTGGAGCGTGGTGCCGGCCAGGGGAGAACAAGGCACGCTGTGTTCCCGGTGAGGACGCTGCCGCTGCCGTGGGA